TTGTTATCTCAGATATTTTGCGCAATGTTGGTTTTGTGTGATTTACCCTGCTACCATATTTTTTTCATTATGTATAAGTCAACCTTTTTGTCCAACCCTTCCACTAGGTCTGACTTCACAAACAAGCGAAAACAGCTTATGTAAAGTATGCGCAGAGGAAGCGAGATCGCGGAGGCTACCGGAGGACAAAACTGGTTACACAAAGTGCATCGCTTAACAAAGGAGTCAGTTTTGAATCGTGAGAAATTGTACATATGAGAATATCTTATCTATAAGAGAAAAAATGGAAGGTCTAGACACATGCAAACGTGCACAGATAAATATACTGAGTAAAACCACAAGGAAATGCTATACCTGCTTGCATACTTCGCAGTCCTTTTTTAGGCGTATACTTCGCCTGACCCCTTCAAGCGCCCGCTTGGGCGCCACCAGATGCTCATTTGTCTTCTCCAGAATGCGGCCTATTACGGCTTCCGGTGACACCACAGGCTGGAAATAATTGTATAATGAATCCATTTTCAGACCAATACGTGGTTAATCACTACTGAATGATATACCCTGAGGAGGACTAGTTTCGGTACAAACTGAGAAATTATGTCTTACCTTCGGCATTGCCATGCTGTGCTCGTTTAGTTCTCCATTTGTGGTTAGATAAAATGTAGAATTTGGAGTGGCAAGAGGAGTTTCAGTGTCATCCTTGCCCCTGAAGCACGGCGATGACAACTATCACTAGTACGAAACCAGTTACGAAGTTCTAACAAAATTTCTGATGTTGTAGAGTCTAGACCTTCCTTTTGAGTTCCCTTTCTCTAACAATGACGTTTCGCATAATCAGTGCGCCTTGTATGCATGCCGATTGAATTACAATACATCAGGAGTTCGTTTTTTTTCTCTAAAAAGTAACGGACCTTTTTGATATCAACACCATTCAATTCGCTATCTCCTCTAGCTCGTTCATCTCCACTCAGTGTTGATGAGCTGTCATCCCCGACGGGTCCAAGCAGTTCTTCGATAAGGTTTTGAGCAGACTGCGAGGTTGATGGAGCACTCGTCAGTGGTGGAGTCTCAGACGACATCGAAATGATGCCCTTAAATAAGACAATTTTACCATAAAAACATATTATACTTCACCCGAGCATTTTATTAAGCATGACCTATCGAACCCATAAATCAGCCCCTCCACGACTTTTTCGCCACTTTTTTTACTCAACATTTGAATTTGCATTCGCAACGCTAATTGAGGGACAGACAAGCAAACAGGTCAGTGTTCCTATTCTCAAAAGAAATCGCCACAGCTGCAGCGATCTGAGCCGCAGCAGTACTCCCACAATTTCTACACAATCGCAAACTACGAATTCTGAAGCCGCTATAGCTGTAGAAGAGATAAGGCGCGAGTGCACTACACATCTTAAAGAGAAGAAAGATCATGCCATTATCCTTTATTATTCAAACAACTTACGTGAACAACGCCATCCTCCTTCAATCCTCTGACACTTCTTAGGCGTGCCGCCTGCAGAACTTGCATCCACTCATCACGAACACGATTAGAAGAACACTCCAGTAAGAAATTGTCGTTACCAGACCTATTTAAATGAAAAAAAACACTATCAGTTATTACAGAAGGCAGAAATCAAATGCTATTGCTTGAAAATGAAACAATGAGTGACGGATTTTTAGCACTGGAGATGCTTGGAACAGATATGGGCTCAAGTGTAGTTGAAGGAGGGGGCATCGTGCCGCGGAGCACTCAAGTCTCTCACAATTACAACTAACACTTCCATTTTATAATGATAATTCCCAAGCCTTTTTTTCACAAACAAAATGTTTCACGTACCCTGAAGCCCCCTGCCCTGCAAAGAATTGGATGATGCCCCTCCCCCTTCCCCAGCCAATACACCCAAATATGAAGAAAGGTGCTTGAAATTAGCACTTGAGCAAAAATCTTTTCAAGTTGTTCCCTCTTTCGGATGAAAAGGTCAAAATTCCATGAAAGAGCAACGTGTAAGCAATAAATATTGAAGATTCCAAACAAAATAAAAATAATACCATTTTGCAACCACTCACAGTATGTGAAACCGTCCGGTCTCACGCGGGTCATAAGTCAACGCCATGCATGCTAATGGTATACGTCCATCACATTTGAGCGAATCATGATCCTTGTACCAGTAAAAATAAGGCGAAACGTTGTCAACAACGTACCAATAACGACGACGATTGATCAAACCCATTGCTCTTATTTCGATCTTAAAAAAGCATACATAGGTACCACAAAAAGTCATGGAAAGCAGCATCGTTAAATTATGTTAAGTTGCACTGCTCTCGGTTACAACAAGCCATTGTGAAATTAGAATGAGTAATACATGTAAGCGCAGGCGAGAAGTTCGAGAGAGAGCGACACCGCCTTGACTTTCTCAACGTTGATTAGGACAAGCCTTCACAATAACATTGAGTCGATTCATACTTTCGCGGCTCGGTTTGCAGTTCAAGTTCAAGTAGATACGTATTGACCATGCGATTCTACGATCGCGGGATGGTACAGTCCATATCTTTAAGTCTGATTGGGCGTGGCTATGGATTCGACGTGGCGGCCGCCGCACTTGATAGAAGTTGCGCGGATAAGCTGCTTCCAGCATGCTTTGCTGATATCCAGCGGAGTATGTTAGAGAACAGCTCATCCACACAACTTCTATCAAATATGGGAACAGCCACGTCAAATCTCAAATCTATAGACACGCCCAATCACACTTCGAGATATGGACTGCACGCGGTTATCGATAC